AATATTTTTTATCGCTGAAATTGGCTTCGCTGGCCTCACCAAGGTTCCAGGACTCTCTTTAGTGCGGTCCTCAGGGATTTCCTCGGCTGGGGAGACCCTCCTAAAAGCAACTCGATATCAGTATTGTAATCTGTTGTTTGGGCTTGGCCCCATGTAAGCCGCCCCAAGTCCCTGTTGGGGGAGATGGTGGCAGTATATAAATAAAGATGATTATTATTTGTTTATATATTTATTTATTTGTGCATTGGTATATCTCTGTTCCAAACAGATCAGAGACAATAGGTTCAGTCTAATAACTGAAGCCACATTGCCTTGCATGAATATTAGTGGATATTGACCACTAAAGAGAAGGTTCACTCAAACGGGTATTTAGCTCTTCTCTGGAAGTCCAAAAAGGTGATGTGTCCAAAAGGTTAGGAATGCCTTTTCCTAAAAGGCGATGGCTCAAACAGGTCGTGCTTTTTACCAAACACAAAGGAGTCCAGAGGGAAGGAACCCAGCGTGACAGTTTTTATTTTCTTTCCATCGTTTTTTAAATATATAAATACCCTCCCATGAATCCCCAGCATAAATATTTTTGCAAAGCGGTTTCGTCATCTTGCTACGCTAGACAATCTTGTGAAATATTTAAATTGGGGGGCAGAGCATAAAACCCCCCCGCAGTCCCGACTGGGTTTCCTTTCGCCCAGCAGTGATGCCATATATACTTCTCTCTCTCTTTTCTCCTCTCCCTTTTGTCCCCTTCTTCCTTGTGTCACTCCGATTCGTTTGTCTAATTGGTGCCAGCGCCCCAACCGGTCCAGCCATGTCTTGTGGGCGCTAGCAGGGAATTTTGTGGTGGCGAAGGGATCCCATTCTTGGAAGCCAAAGGAGGTTGGAAGGAGATGAATCGGCTCTGAAGGCCTCTGAAACCCATGGAAGGACCCTCAAGACCAGGACTGTCAGGACCCCAATTAAGGTCTGCCCCACAGACTTCTCCCAACTGATTTCCCCCCGTCGAAACATTGGCTGTTGAAAAACAGAGAAGTTTTTAAAAAGAGACACGCACACGGACGCACACGTAGAAAGCCCAGGGGTGAGGAGGGGAAGGGGTCAAAGATCTGGGGCCTATGGAGGAGGTCTATGCCGTGGGGAGTGGGGCAGAAAGAGAGATGCCGGAGGGACCGAGGACTGGCGTGGCTTGGACGACTGTACATGAAATGTCAAGCGCATGTCACTCTGAGGGCGGCGGGGAAGTCGGGCACTAGCCGGGTGCCGTGGTCTTGGTTACCCTGTTTCTCATTTCACTTTGGACCAGAACTTTCCGAGAGCCAAAGGCCTGGCCCAAAAAAGGGGGAGAAGCGCCCACCGCACGCCAAGGAGGACCTGCAGCGTGGGAAAGGCATGCTCTGCCCCCTTTACCTTTGCCTCCTTCCCGACCTGGGCTCCCTCCGTGGGGAGATCGGACTACAACTTCCATCATCCATTTCGAAGAGGCTTTTGAGAAGCTGGAAGGTGTCCAGAGAAGGGCGAAAGAAATGGTCAAAAGCCTTGAACCTTCTAAGACAGGTGTAGGTAAACTTGGGCCCTCCAGATGTTTTGGACTTCAACTCCCACCATTCCTAACAGCCTCAGGCCCTTTCTTTTTCCCCCTCAGCCATTTAAGCGTGATATCTATTTATTCTCCAGCAAAGGGTCACCGCCTTGTCGTGGCGCTGGAGCTTGAGCACCTCAATGATGTCATGAGCGAAACCGTGAAGGGCCACCCAAGACGGGACGGTTGTGGCAGAGAGGTCAGACCAAGCGTGATCTCTGGGGAAGGCAATGGCAAACCACTCCAGTATCCTTGCCAAGAAAACTAAATGGACCAGTACAACCAGAGATATGTCGGTATGCCATTGGAAGATGGGACTCCCAGGTCGGAAGATGGCCAAAATGCTACTGGGGAGGAGCAGAGGATAAGTTCAACTAGCCCCAGATGTGATGACGCAGCTAGCTCAAAGCCAAAAGGAAGGCTAGCGGCCGGCGGTACTGGAGGTGAACGACAAATCCGATGCTCTAAAGATCCAACCAGTTCATCCTCCAGGAAATAAAGCCTGACTGCTCATTGGAGGGAAGGAGACTAGAGACAAAGTTGAAGTCCTTTGGCCACATCATGAGAAGACAGGAAAGCTAGAGAAGACAATGATGCTGGGGAAAGTGGAAGGCAAAAGGAAGAGGGGCCGACCAAGGGCAAGATGGATGGATGGCATCCTTGAAGTGACTGGACTGACCTTGAAGGAGCTGGGGGTGGTGACGGCCGACAGGGAGCTCTGGCGTGGGCTGGTCCGTGAGGTCACGAAGAGTCGGAGACGACTGAACGAATGAACAACAATCTATTTGTTGGGATATGAAGGTAGGCATCTTTTAGGTCTATCACTCTATCATCTAGCTTAAGCGGCTGCGGGGGAAAAGGAAGGGCCTGAGGCTGTTAGGAATGGTGGGAGTTGAAGTCCAAAACACCTAAAGGTAAAGGTTTCCCCCGACATTAAGTCCAGTCATGTCCAACTCTGGGGGTTGGTGCTCATCTCCATTTCTAAACCGAAGAGCCGGTGTTGTCTGCAGACACCTCCAAGGTCATGTGGCCGGCATGACTGCATGGAGGGCCCAAATTTGCCCATGCCTGCTCTAAGGAGCAGTTAAGAGAGCCGTGGAGGTTTAGCACGGAGAAGAGAAGGCTTAGAAGGGAATATGAGAACTATATTTAAATATTTGAAGGGATGTCGCATTGAGGAGGGGGTCAAGCTGGTTTTCCGCTGCTCCGGAAACTAGGACACGATGAGCAATGGATTCAAATTGCAGGAAGAGAGACTCCACCTAAACATTAGGGAGAACTTTCGGACTGTAAGAGCTATTTGACGGTGGAAGAGACTACCTCAGAGCATGTTTGGACTTCATCACCTTAGAGAATGAATCAACTTTAAATCAATGTATCATCGAAGGCTTTCATGGCCGGAATCACTGGGTTGTTGTAGGTTTTTTCGGCTATATGGCCATGTTCTAGAGGCATTCTCTCCTGACGTTTCGCCTGCATCTATGGCAAGCATCCTCAGAAGTAGTGAGGTCTGTTGGAACTAGGAAAATGGGTTTATATATCTGTGGAATGACCAGGGTGGGACAAGCTAGGTGTGAATGTTTCAACTGACCACCTTGATTAGCATATAATGGCCTGACAGTGCCTGGAGAAATCTTTTGTTGAGAGGTGATTAGATGTCCCAGATTGTTTCCTGTTGTAATTTTAGAGTTTTTTTAATACTGGTAGCCAGGTTTTGTTCCATTGAAATCCACAAGCATGTGGACAATTTCAATCCGGGGTGAGGCCGATGAACTCCCTCCATCAGCTCCAGCTCCTCATGCGGAGACATGAGAGAAGCCTCCCACAAGGATGATAAAACATCAAAAAATCATCCAGGTGTCCCCTGGGAAACGTCCTTGCAGACGGCCAATTCTCTCACACCAGAAGCGACTTGCAGTTTCTCTGGTTGCTGATACGACAAAAAAAAAATCAACAGAAAGGAGGAAACGATGAAAATGAACAAAATCTAGCTACCCATATTAAAAAAAACCCTCTAAAATTACAACAGCAAAATAACAGAGAGGAAACAATCTGGGACATCTAATCACCCTCTCAACAAAAGATTGCCCCAGGCACAGCCAGGCCATCAATTTATTTATTTGTTTATTTATTTATTTGATTAGCCATCAAATGCTAATCAAGGGGTCAGTTGAAACATTCACACCTAGCTCCAACAGACAAGAGTCCTTTGTCCCAACCCTGGTCATTCCACCGATATATAAACCCATTTTCCTAGTTCCAACAGACCTCAGTACCTCTGGGGATGCTTGCCATAGGTGCAGGCAAAACGTCAGGAGAGAAAGCTTCTAGAATCATAGAATCCAAGAGTTGGAAGAGACCTCCTGGGCCATCCAGTCCAACCCCATTCTGCCAAGAAGCAGGAATATTGCATTCAAATCACCCCTGACAGATGGCCATCCAGCCTCTGTTTAAAAGCTTCCAAAGAAGGAGCCTCCACCACACTCCCTTCGGGGCAGAGAGTTCCACTGCTGTACGGCTCTCACATGGCCATATAGCCCGAAAAAACCTACAACAACCCAACTTTAAAATCAAATTACTGGCTCCTAGCAACAGAAGCTGGATGGCCATCCCTCAGGAGTGCTTTGATTGATTGAGTGGCAGAAGGAGGTTGGACTGGATGGCCTTCATAGCCTTGGATTCCATGATTCATACTCAGTCAGCAGGGATCACAAGAAAAGCTGCAATGTGGACACTTGGAAAAGTTCCTTTTCTTTTCTCCTTTCTTTTGCAATATGTTCGAACAACCCCCCTAACTCCCCCTCCCCTCTGTTTTGGACTACAATGGAATGATGGGAGTTGGAGTTGCCACCAGGTTTGAGAAGATTGCTCTGGAAACACCAGTTGATCCCACCTCCGTAGGTTCCGACAAGCAGACGGAAGGCTCAGGCCCCTCCGTGGGGTGGGCGCAGGCGGACCCTTTGTGCAATGAGTCCGCCCAGTCCCCTTGTTTGGCGTCCCCTTCCCCTCCTTTCCTTTGAGGTGGGTTTTTTGGCAATAGAAGGAAAATGGCACGAGCGATTGGTAGTGCTCCTGGCACTTTTGAAGCCCACGAATGAGGGAGCGTGAGGAGGGTGGCATTGCCCGGCCCTGACAAACGTGCGCACGCTCTCGCATTCACACTCACTCACTCACTCACACCCTGGCAACTGCACCCATCCCTTCCCTGCACACTCCATCGTCCTCCTAGAAAAGGGAAAGGGCACCGGAGAGGTCAGTCTCACTGGCCAAGGCTCTCTTGGGGTGGCCACGTCCTTCCAACTGTGGCTTGCCATCTCTTGGAGCCATGAGCATCCCTGCCAGTGTTCCTCAGGCTGAAGCAGCACCTCACACCTCTCCTTCCCTTTTTTGATAATCCAGGATATCGTCCAGAGGAAAAAAAAAACCAGAACGTTGCCCACTTTATCAAAAGTCTCCAGCCACAGCGATGCCCCAATTGGCCCACGACTCGGTCTCTGGTGGGTCTTCCCCCAGGGAGCGTGGGGAGGGCGGGGGCAGCATGCCACCAGCAGTCTGGCCCTGCGCCATGCGTGGGCTTTGGCGTGGCCAGCACAAGGCACCGGTTCCTCCTCCTCCTCCCCCCCGCCGCCTGTCAAATGGCCGTGTCCCAGAGCACTGTCTGCTGGCGGCGGCAGGGCGGCGTGCCGGACTTGCGGTTCTCCGTGTTCCTCCGCCAGCTGGGCAGGATGGGCATGCTCTCCTGCTTGCAGAGGCTGCGCTCCGGGCGGTGGCGCGCCTTGATCTCCTTGCAGACGCACCGCTTGCGCTCAATCACCTCCAGGAGCTTCCCATCCCTTTCGCGGGAGGCCGGCAGGAGACCCCCGGGGGCCGGGAGTTGCACATGCTGCAAGGCCTACGAGGAAAGAAGAAGGGTGGGGGAACATCATGATCAGGCAGGGAAAGTAGTGCTCATAGGTTGGAGTTTCTTAGGGCATGTAAAAAATCAGTTAGTGTATGTGTGTCAACTGTAAAATAAGATGCACGAAGCTGCGTGCTGGAAGAATTAGCTTCCGAGCACAATTCAAAGTGCTGGTGTTAGCCTATAAAGCCCTAAACGACTCCGGCCCTGTTTACCTCTCCGAACGTATTCTCCCCTACGAACCATCAAGACCACTAAGATCGTCTGGAGGGGCCCTGCTCTCGGTCCCTCCGCCTGCACAAGCACGGCTGGTGGGGACGAGGGACAGGGCCTTCTCGATGGTGGCCCCTCGACTTTGGAACTCCCTGCCATTAGAGATCAGAACTGCCCCCTCCCTCATGACGTTCAGGAAACTAACAAAGACCTGGTTGTGGAACGCGGCATTTGACAACTGATTTAATTCTTTGCCCACATGAAAGGAGGATGATGAATGGGATTGTGATGGTGTCGGACGATTTGGCTCTTTTAACTGGGACGATAATGTTTTAATGTGTATGGTGCTGATATTTTAATCGTGTAATGAAGTGGCATTGTGTTGTTATTGTATATTCTTTGTATGTTAACACATGTTGTGAACCGGTCCGAATCCCTCTTTGAAGGTGAGAGGGTCGGTATATAAAACCTCGAAACAAACAAATAAATAAGCAAAGACCACCAGCATTGAAGCGATGGTCCTCTGCCATCAACTCTGCTGGGCCGGCCACGTTGTCCGGATGCCTGACCACCGTCTCCCAAAGCAGTTGCTCTACTCTGAACTTAAGAACGGAAAACGGAACGTTGGTGGACAGGAAAAGAGATTTAAAGATGGGCTCAAAGCCAACCTTAAAAACTCTGGCATAGACACTGAGAACTGGGAAGCCCTGGCCCTTGAGCGCTCCAGCTGGAGGTCAGCTGTGACCAGCAGTGCTGCAGAATTCGAGGAGGCACGAGTGGAGGGTGAAAGAGAGAAACGTGCCAGGAGGAAGGCACGTCAAGCCAACCGGGACCGCCTTCCACCTGGAAACCAATGCCTTCACTGTGGGAGAAGATGCGGGTCAAGAATTATCAGGCCTGAGGCTGTGAGGAATTGTGGGAGTTGCAGTCCAAAACACCTGGAGGGCCAAAGTTTACCCATGCCCAGGCTAGCATTAAAGGATTTTAGCTGATGGAGCCAAGAAAGCCTGGGCTGCCTGTCAGAATAGCCGGTGTTAGGCCCTAAAGCAGGCAGACGATGTTTCAGCAATATTGGCATTTGGAAACGGTGTTGGAAGTTTACGTGTGCATTGTGTCTACAATGCTGACAATGGATGCACAGAGGCCATTGTTTTGTGAGGCTAATAGATCTTAATTGCCCCTTCCAAGACCAAGCAATTCCTAACCCACATGAGGGTGAGATGTCTGGTGCTTTCCTCATGCCAGCCCTGGCGACCCACACCTTGGTGTGAGGACGGCGTAGACGTGGAAGAGAGAGAACCTGGGCAAACATCCTTGACCACTGGCTACTCCCCTACCCCACAAGTCCACCCTTTTCTATGCTTGAGAGTTTAGCCCATTCTCAGTGAAGCGCGGTGCGGAAGGGCAGAAGAGGCCTCCGATCTTGTTGTCCTCCCCCCCAGCCTCCTCCTTCCCATTTGGAAAGGGAGGAGGTATTTATAGACCTTCTGGTGGTGATGCTCACGTTCTCCTTCTCCCTCCGCCGCCCACCCAGAAGGAGAAGGAGCTTGGCTGGGTCTCCTGCTTCTGTGCAGAAAGCCCGACCGGCTCCTTCACTTGGCATCCTCTGGAATGGGCGTTTGCACAGAAAAGAGCCACTGTATTGTCAAAGGCTTTCATGGCCAGAATCACTGGGTTGTTGTAGGTTTTTTCGGGCTATATGGCCATGGTCTACAGGCATTCTCTCCTGACGTTTCGCCTGCATCTAAGGCAAGCATGTTCAGAAGTAGTGAGGTCTGTTGGAACTAGGAAAAGGGGTTTATATATCTGTGGAATGACCAGGGTGGGGCAAAGAACTCTTGTCTGCTGGAGCTAGGTGTGGATGTTTCAACTGACCACCTTGATTTATTTGAGAACACAGAAATGCTGGACCACTCTCACAACCACTATGTCAGACTACACAGAGAAGCCATTGAAATATACAAGCATGTGGACAATTTCAACAGAAATGACAACTAACTCAGTAAGACGGCATTGAACAAGGAACGAAAAAGGACTATGAGAACGGGATCTGATTCTAATTGAGGCGTTGATGACTGTGTGTGTTGTTTGTGTATGTACGTCTTATATATTGTCAGTGTTGCCATTTTTACTGTAAACCGCATTGAGTCGCCGTCGCAGGCTGATATATGCGGTATACAAATGGAGTAAATAAATAAATAAATAAATAATTGAATTCAGTATTAAAACAGCACAACAACAGAGAGGAAACAAACAAGGACATCTAACCACCTCTCAACAAAAGTTTGCTCTAGGCACTGTCAGGCCATTATATGCTAATCAAGGTGATCAGTTGAAACATTCACACCTAGCTCCAACAAATAAGAGTTCTTTCTCCCACCCTGGGCATTTCACATATATATAAACTCCGCTTGCCTATTCTCCAACAAACCTCACAACCTCTGAGGATGGCTGTAATAGATGCAGGTGAAATGTCAAGCGAGATTGCTTCTGGAACATGGCCATACAGCCCGGAAATCTAACAGCAACCAACCAGTGCTAACTCCTGAACTCCCCTCCATTCTGCTCTGGTTAGACCACACCTGGAATATTGTGTCCAATTCTGGGCACCACAATTCAAGACAGATATTGACAAGCTGGAATGTGTCCAGAGGAGGGCGACTAAAATGATCAAGGGTCTGGAGAACAAGCCCTATGAGGAGCGGCTTAAGGAGCTGGGCATGTTTAGCCTGAAGAAGAGAAGGCTGAGAGGAGATACGATGATAGCCATGTGTGAGAGGAAGCCACAGGGAAGAGGAGGGAGCAAGCTTGTTTTCTGCTTCCCTGGAGACTAGGACGCAAGGGAGCAATGGCTTCAAACTACAAGAAAGGAGATTCCATCTGAACATGAGGAAGAACTTCCTGACTGTGAGAGCCATTCAGCAGTGGAACTCTCTGCCCCAGAGTGTGGTGGAGGCTCCTTCTTTGGAAGCTTTTAAACAGAGGCTGGATGGCCATCTGTCAGGGGTGATTTGAATGCAATATTCCTGCTTCTTGGCAGAATGGGGTTGGACTGGATGGCCCATGAGGTCTCTTCCAACTCTTGATTCTATGATTCTATGGACCAGCCTCTGTTTTAAAAGCTTCCAAAGAAGGAGCCTCCACCACACTCCGGGGCAGAGAGTTCCACTGCTGAACGGCTCTCACATGGCCATATAGCCTGAAAAAACATGGCTATATAGCCCGAAAGAACCTACAACAACCCAAAAGAGCCACTGCTGGGAATCCCAGCCCCCCTCTGAGCCCACCTACCAGGCTGGCTGGGTCCCGGGGGTGGCTGCACGGCCTCTGCGCATGGAACACGGCGTGCCGCACCCCGGAGGTGGAGGCCGAACGGCCCAGTAGGTAGCCGCTGGTGAAATCTGGCAGAAGAAGGAGGGAGCAGGTTAGGGGAAGGAAGCAGGTCCTTGAGGAATTGCAACCCTGTGACAACCAACGTTTCCTCCCTGAGTCCCACCTTTGCAAAAGAAAAGGTCTTTTTGGTTGGCAAAACCAGGCAGCCACACCCCTTCCCTGCCCACCAATTCAGGGAGACCCTCAGATGGACGGAGGAGGCAGCCAGCATCGGCCGCATGCTCCTCTCTCCTTCCCTCTCCCTGCGCTTGCTGCAGTCTGTCCTCATTTGAAGGTCACCTGCTTCCCTTTGCAGCTGCATCGTGCACAATTTCTGCAGCCAAAACCAGACCCAGCACAGACACGGCTCTTTCTTTCCCTTTGCAAAGGGGGCAAAGGCACAGGGGGTCTCACCTCCGTTCCGGTGGCAGGCGGGGAAGGTCTGGCAGGGAACGGGCAGGTTGGTCCTCCCCGCCGCCGGCACCTTGGCCCCGGCCAGGCTTTCGGACCCCGGCGTGCGGACGGGGATGCTGGACTGCAGCGGGCCCGGCCCGGCTTTCTCCTCCTTCTCCATTTTGGTGGGCTGCGGGCTGTCGCTGTGGTCCCAAGCCGGGGGACCCTCGGCGGACTCTGCAGAGGACGGATACAAACCTTGTAGGCCAAAACAGAAACAGAACGGGGAGAAGACTCGAGCCAAAAACAGCTTTTAAGGCAGGTATGGGCATACTTGGGTCGTCCAGGTGTTTTGGACTCCAACTCCCACCATTCCTAACAGCCTCAGGCCCCTTCCTTTTCCCCTCAGCTGCTTAAGCGGGAGTTGGAGTCCAAAACACCTGGAGGACCCAAGTTTGCCCATACATGCTTTAGACACAAGCCGGCGTTGACAAAATTACCATCTGCCAGCTGCAAAAGGCCACCTTACTGGGATCTGCATGCATTATTCGCTGATACATCACACAGTCCTAGACACAAGTGTCCAACGTGTGATCCACTACAACAGCCAGCAGAGTGTCTGCTGTGGACTCCCCTTGTTGTGTTTCTAATAATAATGATAACAACAACCACAACAACAACATCACAGTCCTAGACACTTGGGAAGTGTCCAACATGTGATCCACTACAACAGCCAGCAGAGTGTCTGCTGTGGACTCATTTTGTTGTGATTCTAATAAATAATAATAATAATAATAATAATAATAATAATAATAATAATAATAATGTATAACAACATAGCTGGGTGGTCATCTGTTGTGGATACTTTGTGCTTTTCTGGCATAATGGCAAAAAGGGGTTGGACTAGATTAGCTTTGGGGGGCTCTTACTCTAGGAGTCTAATAATAATAATAACTGCAAAGACTCTGGCACAAGCCAGTCAAGGTGGTCCCAGTGGTGATCGGCACACTGGGTGCAGTGCCTAAGACCTTGGCCTGCACTTAAACACAATCGGCGCTGACAAAATTACCATCTCATGGTACAAGCCAGTAAAGGTGGTCCCAGTGGTGATGGCACACTGGGTGCAGTGCCTAAAGACCTTGGCCTGCACTTAAACACAATTGGTGCTGACAAAATTACCACCTGCCAGCTGCAGAAGGCCACCTTACTGGGATCTGCACGCATTATTTGCCGATACATCACACAGTCCTAGACACTTGGGAAGTGTCCGACGTGTGATCCAATACAACAGCCAGCAGAGTGTCTGCTGTGGACTCATCTTGTTGTGTTTCAAATAATAATAATAAAACTTTAGGCACACTGGGTGCAGTGCCTAAAGACCTTGGACTGCACCTAAACACTATCAGCGCTGACAAAATTACCATCTGCCAGCTGCAAAAGGCCACCTTACTGGGATCTGCACACATTATTCGCCAATACATCACACAATCCTAGACACTTGGGAAGTATCTGATGTGTGATCCAATACAACAGCCAGTAGAGTGATCTTGTTTGTTGAGTATCTTGTTGTGTTTCAAATAATAATAATAGTAATAGTCATAATAAAGCTAGCTAGGACTTCTGGAGTTCAAAGCACCTGAGTGACCAAAGTTTGGCAACCACTGTCCTAGAGGTCTCATCCCCAACCCAAGTATACATTGGGTTGTTGTAGGTTTTTTCGGGCTATATGGCCATGGACTAGAGGCATTCTCTCCTGACGTTTCGCCTGCATCTATGGCATAATTCCAACAGACCTCACTACCTCTAAGGATGCTTGCCATAGATGCAGGCGAAACATCAGGAGAGAATGCCTCTAGACCAGTGATGGGCAACCTTTTGAGCTTGGTGTGTCAAAATTCGCCAAAAGCCTGAGCATAATTTGGGTGGGGTGTCACTTCAAGAAAAAACCATAATTTTGCAATATTTATAGTTTAAATAAGAAAAATGTATATTCCATGCTGAGTTATGGTGTAAACAATGCTCAAACGTGCAGATGTTAAATTTGTAGAGCCTTTTACAAATTTAAGGATGGAATTAGATTGGCTCTAATAAGGTGTACTTCTCTGTATGCGACCGTTTGTGTCTGCGTGTCATCAAAAATAGCCATGCGTGTCAGTGCTGACACGTGTGTCATAGGTTCACCATCATGGCTCTAGACTATGGCCATATAGCCCCAAAAAACTTGCAACAACCAGTGATTCCGGCCATGAAAGCCTTCGACCAAGTTTTATTCTTTTTGAGGCTGACATTTGGCAAAAATGGAAGGGATACGGTAGGACGTTTGGTGTCCTTGACTCTTCCACCTGAGTTTTCACTTTCAGAGGGGGAAATGAACTGCCAGTGGCCCAATTGCATGGCTGGCAAAAGGGATCCGGCCCCCAAGTAGAGGGAGACTCCCCGGCCCCATTGGCAGGCCGGTGGGCAACTGGACAAAGGCATGGAACGTCATCCCCCCCCCCTCCCAAAGAGATGCCCACCGCTCCACCACTCACTCTCTGCTTCCTTGCTCTTCCGGCCGGCGTATCCCATCCTGCGGTGCAGCACCCACCCGAAGGGGTCCTCCTCTCCGGCCACCGTGGCACGCCCGAGGTCTTCTCCGGAGAGCAGGTGGGAGCAGGCCAGGCTGGTGAGCGCCCGGTCCTGCAGCTGCATCTTGACCGCTGCCGAGGAGGCGGCCTTGGCGGCAGCACTCTTGACACTCTCGTAGGCGGGCGGGCGCTTGATCCCCACACAGGGGGCAGGGTAGGTCCAGACCATGCCCAGCGGAGGGGGCGGGGGGGACTCGGCGGGGAGGGCACACACCCGCTGGGCCTGCTTGCAGGTGGAGGGGACGGTGGAGGGCCGGGTGCACAGCATCCCGTGCAGCACCGCAATCTCCTTCTCCGTCTTCTGCTCGGTGGGGGCCGTGTGAGTGGTCACCTTGACCGCCGAGTAGACCATGGTGTAGGATACGGCTGGGGGCTTCTCCTTGACCGGCAGCATGGAGGGGACTGGGGTGGGGGGTGGTGGGGCCGAGGGCTGCTTGGTGGGGGCACCGATGATGCCGGGGCCGCTGCTGCTGTGGGAGTTGGGCAGCTCCTTGTCGGCGGAGGAAGTGGCCTTGCTCTGGCCGGAGGAGGGCTGTGGGGGCAGCGGCGTGGAGTGGCTACGTGCGCGGCCGGAGGGGGCCAAGGCACCACCTTCACCGCCTCCTCCTCCTCCTCGCTGGTGGTGGTGGTGGCTGGGCACTTGTGGGGTCATGGGGGCAGAGGGGGCTTCCTTGGTGTGGCACAGGATGGGCAGTTTGGAACCGTCCGGCCCACCGCCGCCCCCTTTGTACCCACCCTTCTTGGCCTGGGGGAAGGCCAGCAGTGGGGGGCGGTGCTGCAGGAGGTTGGGGAAGGGGGGTGGGATCTCACAGGGGGACGTCTTGGGGCCCGGCCCTGTGGCCTTGCCGGACTCCCGCTTGACCGGCCGGTGGCGCGGGGAGGAAGGGTCCCCACTGGAGGGACGGTGGGACTCCCCGGTTTCCTCGGGGAGTGGGTACTTCATCTCCTCATAGATGGCCTCGCTCTCGTCAGAGTCCTCATCGGCCGTGGCGGGGGTCTGCGAAGGTGGGCCGGGCCCCCGGAAAATGTCCCCCACCATCTCGATGTAGACGGGTTCGTCCTCCTCTGGGTCGGAGCCCTTGGCCGGGCTGTGGGAGAAGGCCCGCCCGTAGCGCTGCAGGGCCCCCGCCAGAGAAGGGCCCGGCAGGCGGCCGGAATAGGCTTCGTCGAAGGAGACCGAGAGGTGTGTGTTGGGGCTGCGCTTCGGCTTCTGCGGGGGCACCTTGCGCCCAGACTCTCGGCTCTCGGCGCTGGACTTCTGGGAGCTCCTGGAACAGAGGAAAGGGACGTGGGGAAGGAGAATGAAGGTGTGGTGGACAGAGGCGACCCTAGGTAATTTTCAACGGTAAGCAAACAGTATTTTGGCCCCCCCCCCCAACCAATCATTGATATATATTTTCTGTTCGTCGTGGGAGTTCTGTGTGCCATATTTGGTTCAATTCCAACATTGGTGGAGTTCAGAATGCTCTTTGATTGTAGGTGAACTATACATCCCAGTAACTACACTTGCCGCACTTGCTCCCTTGCCTGGCCCGCTTTGTGTCCAGAGGCATGCCTGAAGACCCGGCGTGTGCACCAAAAGTCACCTCTTCTCCTGACTTTCTCCTCCATACTTTGGGACCGAGAGAGAGAGAGACAGAGAGACAGAGGTGGAGATGCCCACCTTTCCTGAAGGTAGGCAAAAACAAAGGAGGGAGCGGAGGTGGGAGATACCTCCAGCAGGAGGGTCTCTCTCTCTCTCTCTCTCTTGGTCCCAATGGCTGAAGAGAAAGTCAGGAGAAGAGGCGACTTTTGGTGCACACGCTGGGGTCTTCAGACACGCCTCCAGACCCGAAGCGGGCCAGGCGTGGTGGCTCCGCCCCTTGGCCCACCCGTGGATTGGGGAGAGGAGAGGAGGCAGGTGGAGCACTGGGGGATCGGGAAAGGGAGCCGGTCATGGGGAAGGGATCGAACGCGGAGAACGATTGAGCGCCGGCTCTGCTCGCACACCCGGTGGCCGGGTGGAGCAGGAACGAGAGGGGCTAGGCGAGGCTCAAGGGCCCGGCCCCTTTGGGAAGAGGATCGCCCGGCAGCGAGGCAAGAAAGCCGAGGCTCCCCCCGGACTGCTAGGGCTGTTGTGAGCTGAAGGGGCGCTCCTCAAGTGGCAGTCGAGGGGCATTTACAGAGGCGCCTCTGCGCCCCTGGCAAAAAAGAAGTGTTCTGCGACCGCTTACTTCGCGTAATGGACGAGCCGCCCCTGGTGGTGGGAGGAAGGCAGAACAAGGTGGGTCAAAGTAAGCCTTGCCTAGCCCTGAGTTCCAACATTGTGGACTGGTTGCCCCTCCATGATTTTCCATCTGAACCCCTTTCTAATCTAGCCACCTTGGTAGCCACCCTAATCTTATGGCAGGGAGCTCCACTACTTGTACTACAGACTTACAGCGTGGAGTGAGAAATTCAAGCTGCAGGAAATTGACCCAAACATTAGGAAGACCTCCTCGACAGTATGAAGAGCTGTGTCGTTGAAGGCTTTCATGGCTGGGTTGCAGTGAGTTTTCCGGACTGTATGGCCATGTTCCAGAAGTGTGAATGTTGCAGTTAATCACCTTGATTACCACTGTAAAGCCTTGCTGCTTCAAAGCTTGGCTGCTTTCTGCCTGGGGGATCCTTTGTTGGGAGGTGATTACCTGGCCCTGATTGTTTATTGTCTGGAATTCCCCTGTTTTTGAGTGTTGTTCTTTATTTACTGTCCTAGTTAATTTCACCTGGTCATGCTCAGCATTATTTTTTTTAAAAAATAATTATTACATAGGTTTTTAAGTATTGTTGTGCTATTGTTAATGTTTACTGCTTATGTTTTGTTTATGATTTATTTATTTATTTATTTATTTATTTATTTAATGCACTTGTAGACCGCCGTTCTCAGCCCTGCAGGGCGACTCATGGCGGTGTACAACATATAAAAACAGGTACAAATATCCACATAACAATATAACATAAACACTAATAATACAGTTACACTAAGTCATTCGCGACGTCTCATCATTGAATCACAATCCAGTTCCCATTATCCATATTCCGTTCCGATCGTCAATAGCCAATTGTTGCAGCACTTACTCAAAGGCCCTCTCAAACAGCCACGTCTTTAGACTCTTACGGAATGTCAAGAGGGAGGGCTCCGATCTGATGTCCACAGGGAGGGTGCTCCACAGCCGGGGGGCCACCACCGAGAAGGCCCTGTCTCTCGTCCCCGCCAGGCGTGCCTGTGAGGCAGGCGGGATCGAGAGAAGGGCCTCCCCGGATGATCTCAAAGTCCTCGTGGGCTCATAGGCCGAGATGCGGTCAGACAGGTATTTTGGGCCGGAACCGTTTAGGGCTTTGTAGGCCAACACCAGCACCTTGAATTGGGCCCGGTAGCAAATCGGCAGCCAGTGGAGCTGGTACAACAAGGGCGTTGTGTGCTCCCTGCGTCCCGCTCCTGTTATCAACATGGCTGCCGCGCGCTGGACTAGCTGGAGCTTCCGGGCCGTCTTCAAGGGCAGCCCCACGTAGAGAGCGTTGCAGTAGTCAAGACGGCTGGCCCCCTCCCTGTCCAGGGACGACCTAGCTATGGTGATCCAGGCTACGGTCATCTCAAGACTGGACTACTGTAACACCCTCTACATTGGCCTTCCTCTTTCGGTGATCCAGAAGCTCAAGCTGGTACAAAATGCAGCTGTTCAGTATTGACTATTTGTTATTGCCTTTGTTTATTGATGTGCTGTGGGCTTGGCCTCATGTAAGCCGCACCGCGTCCCTTGGGGAGATGGTAGTGGGGTACAAATAAAGTTGTTTTATTATTATTATTATTATTATTATTATTAGTAGTAGTAGTAGTAGTAGTAGTAGTATTGGCCTGATTTTAGAGGCTACTCAATGCTAATCAAGGTGATCAATTGCAACATTCACACTTTCCTCAAGCAGACAAGAGTTCTTTCTCCCAACCTGGACATTCCACAGGTATATAAACCCCACTGCCTTGTTTATAATGAACCTCATAACTTCTGAGGATGCCTGCCATAGATGTGGGTGAAACATCAGGAGAGAATGCTTCTGGAACATGGCCAAACAGCCCAGAAAACTCACAGCAACCCAGTATTTATTTATTATTCGAACTTATATGCTGCCACTCCCCTGGGGCTCGGAGTGGCTTACAAGAACAGGCTAAAATCTAACACAATTTAAAACAATTTAAAAACAGCAATATCAAAGCGCAAAGCCCTGTCGAAACAGGTATGTCTGAGATGCCCTGTGGAAAGCTGATAAGTCCCACAAGGCACGGACTTCAGGTGGCAGAGTATTCCAGAGTGACGGTGCCACTGCTGTAAAGGCTCTGTGTCTGGTTGCTGTTAGACGCAAGGTCTTGACACTGGGAATTTCCAACAGATCTTGGTCCTCAGAATGGAGGGATCTCTGGGGTTGGGAGGGGGTGAGGCGGTCCCTCAGGTACATCGGCCCCAGACCATGCAAGGCCTTCAAGGTGAGTCCCATCCCTTTGAAAGTGATCCGGTGCTCAATTGGTAACCAATGCAGCTGTAGTAAGATTGGTGTTATGTGGCATCTCATCGGAATTCCCGCAAGAAGCCGAGCAGCTGCATTTTGTACCAACTTGAGCTTCTGGATCACCGACAGAGGAAGGCCAATGTAGAGGGCGTTACAGTAGTCCAGTCTTGAGATGACCGTGGCCTGGATCACCGTAGCTAGGTCGTCCCTGGACAGGGAGGGGGCCAGCCGTCTAGCCTGCCGCAGGTGAAAGAAGGCGGTTCTGCTCACGGCGGAGAGACCTGGGCCTCCATCGTCAGCAGAGGGTCCAAAGGACTCCCAGACTCTTGACCAATGATGACGGGCGTAGCGCCTCGCCATCCAGGGTAGGCAGCTGGATATCCCCACTGCCCGGTCGACCCAGCCATAGGATCTCCATCTTTGCTGGATTCACCCTCAACCTGCTGGCACGCAGCCATCCAGTCACGGCCTCGAGGCACTGATGGAAACAATCGGGTACAGAGTCCGGTCGGCCTTCCATCTTCAGCACCAGCTGAGTGTCATCAGCGTACTGAAAACACTCAAGCCCAAAACCTCGAACCAGCTGAGCAAGTATGAAGAGTTGTTTGTGGGTTGTGGTTCTGTTTGTGAGTTCATTGGGCCCTCCTTTTCAGGAGATTTTTAAGCAGAGGCTGGATGGCCATCTGTTGTGTGTGTGTGTATGTGTGTATGTGTGTGTGTGTGTGTGTGGGGGGGGGGGGGGGGGGGGGGGGGGTTGGACTGCCTTCCTACCTGGCAGAATAGAATGGGACTGGATGGACTATGGGGTCCCTTGTAACGCTATGATTCTACTAAAGTTCTTAATTTTCTCTACCTTCAAGGACCATGATGTCCTTGAGTCCTAACCCTAACCCTAATATGAGGGAAAGCTTTGCTCAAGCTGATTTCTCAATTTCTTGAGTGTCCCCACGAATGACACCACCATCACCACCACCACCACCACGGCCACTGCTGCTGGTGTTATTGCCTTTGCCGAACCGGCCTTGGTGGGCACCAGCCTTGCCCAAGCACTTGCTCACCTGCCTTCTTGCTGCTGCCCAGTGGCTCCAGCCCGGCCCTGGCTTCGGCGCTGAGCTTGGTGCTGGGGTGCCGCTTGGGCTTGGCGGGGGGCTTCCGGGACCCGCCGCCGACCCCCTCCCCGGCCGTGTCCACGCTGCTGCCCACCGAGTGGCAGGAGAGGGAGCGGGGGGCCATGCTGCTAGCGCAGGGGTGCGGGGCGTGCTCCTGCGAGGCCGGCATCGTCATGAAGCCCATCCTAAAGTGGCGCCGGAAGGAGGCCACGTCACGCACCTTGCCCACGCTGCCACCACCGCCACCACTGGGCTCCTTGGCCGAACTGAAAGGGAAGGGAGCAGAGAAGCACGTCAGAGCAAAGAAAGGACGAGAAAAACGTATGGTGCTACTATGGCAATAGAAATGAACCTCAAGAGATACGGGATGGGGGCACCTCACTTGACAACAGTCCAGGTGAAAGGCATCTGGGGGTCTTAATAGTAGACCTCAAGCTGGACAGGAGTCAGCCGCAGCTAGAAAGCCAATGCAATTCTAGGCTACGTCATTCAAAGTCTATTGCGTCTATATTGAAGGAAGCCCTACTCCTATGGTCTTCTGCTTTGGTCAAACCTCATCTCGAATAGCCTTGTGTCCAGTTCTGGGCAAAGCAAGGCACGAAGGACATTGAGAATGTGGAAGGGGTCCAGAGAAGGGTGACCAAAACAGGCAAAGGGTTTCTCCTGAGGAACATCTTAGGGAGTGAGGTACATATACCGCTTAGAGCAGTGGTTTTCAACCTACCAAAGGCCGTGACCCCTTAATACAGTTCCTCATGTTGTGGTGACCCCTAACCATAAAATCACTTTCGTTGCTACTTCATAACTGTAATGTAAATATCTGATATGCAAGATTTATTTCCATTCACTGGACCAAACTGGGCACAAATACCTGATACGCCCAAATTTGAATACTGGTGGGATTGGAGAGTTGATTTTGTCATTTGGGAGTTGTAGTTGCTGGGATTTATAGTTCAGCTACAATCAAAGAGCATCCTGAACTTCAATGATGGAATTGAACCAAACTCAGCACACAGAACTCCCATGACCACCAGAAAATACTGGAAGGGTTTGATGGACATTGACCTTGAGTTTTGGAGTTGTAGTTCACCTACATGCTGAGATCACTGTGGACTCAAACAATGGTGGATCTGGACCAAACTTGGCAGGAATACTCAATATGCCCAAATGTGAACACTGGTGGAGTTTGGGGAAAATAGACCTTGACCTTTGACAGTTGTAGTTTCTGGGATTGGTAGTTCACCTACAATCAAAGAGCATTCTGAACTCCACCAACGATAGACTTGGGCCAAACTTGTCACACAGAACCCCCATACTAACAGAAAATGTTTTGTTTTCTGATGGTCTTTGGCAACCCCTCTGACGCCCCCTCACGACCCTCCCCCAGGGTCCCGACCCCCAGGTTGAGAAACACTGGCCTAGAGCAAAGAAGACGAAGAGAAACAGACATGAGAGCCAGGTTTAAATATCAGAACAGAGATCTCATTGAAGAGGAGACTAGACCAGGCATGGGCAAACTTGGTCCATCCAAGTGGGATACCATGATCGATGGTATCGAAAGCCGCTGAGATGTCCAAGAGAACCAACAGGGTCACACTCCCCCTGTCCAGATTTCTGCGGAGGTCATCCACCAAGGCGACCAAAGCCGTCTCAGTGCCATGGCCAGGCCTGAAACCAGACTGTGACTGATCTCCCAACACCTCCCAACAAAGAATTCCCCCAGCCAGTAAGAAACCATACCTTGAAACTGCTAGGCCATTAAATGCTAATCAAGGTGGTCAATTGCAACATTCACACCTGCCTCAAACAGACAAGAGTTCTTTCTTCCACCCTGGAAATTATTCCACAGATATATAAACCTCCCTTGCCTAGTTTCCAACAGACCTCACAACCTCTGAAGATGCCTGCCAGAGATGCAGGTGAAACATCAGGAGAGAATGCTTCTGGAACATGGCCAGACAGGCTGGAAAATTCACAACAACCCACATTCTGGTCAGTTCCTAAAAGCCCATCGGAATAAGAAAAATGTCACTTGTGAATGGGAGGGACGGCAGAGAGAAGGCCTTTTGCTGAAGATCTTGGGAGGCAGGATGGCATAGAAAGGCACAGTCCGCAAGGTAACCTGGGCCGGAGTTCCTCGGGGATTTATAGTTCTCCCACTTGCACTGCCTGGTAACTGATCTGGAGAGGTATATATATCCCTCACTGCTAGTAGCAACCAACATATCCAAGGCTGGGTTGAAGGTGGTTGGCATGGAGATCAAATCAATAAGCCAGGACACAAGTACTAAATACATTGGAAACAGATTGCAAATCTGCTGCAACAGGCTACAGAGTAACTTAAGAAACATAGAGCTGGATACACAAGTAAAGCCCTCCTGGAAGAGGTCCATCCAACCTCTGCTGAAAGACCGCCAAAGAAAGAGAGGCATCCTTTCCCGCTCGCATGGGAAGGGACCCCCAAAGGCCATCTAGCCTAGCCCTATTCTGCCAGGCAGGAATGCACACTGCAAACACATCCAAAAGTCCGCCATTTAAGTGGGTGCTAGAAACAATATCATACGAAAGCTGACTGGCACAACCTGGGGATCACAACCAGACACAGTTAAGACATCTGCCCTTAAGCTGTGCTACTCTGCGGCTGAGTATGCATGCCCAGTGTAGAACACATCTCACCATGCTAAAACAGTGGATGTGGCTCTTAATGAGACATGCCGCATTATCACGGGGTGTCTGCGCCCTACACCACTGGAGAAATTACACTGCTTAGCCGGTATTGCACCACCTGACATCTGCCGGGAAGTAACAGCCAATAGTGAAAGGACCAAGGCAGTGACATCTCCAGCCCATCCTCTGTTTGGGTATCAGCCAGCACACCTACGACTTACAGTATATTCTGCCGTATAAGACTACTTTTTAACCCAAGAAAATATTCTCAAAAATCAGGGGTTGTCTTATATGCAGGAATAGCCTTATGCATGGGAGCCGTCATATATTTGGGAGTAGTCTTATACGCCGAAATGGAAACTTCCAATCTGGATTGGAGAATCTGTGGTTGCTGCATATTGTGGGGGGGGGGGGGGGGGGGACGGGACTCAAAAATGGCAGTGGCTACGTCCTTGCCATATGCAACGACTGTATGAAAACATTAAGGATGACGCTGTACAAGTACGGTAGAAAAAATCCATTCATCAGGATTTGTGGACTTAATGCGGTCCCAATGGTGAGGTGAAGGAGCGCCTCACTGGGAAGGTGTAAGTGAAGGGTGAGGGGTAGTCTTATACAGTGAGTATATCTCAAACTCTATATTTTAACTGGAAAAGTTGGGGGTCGTCTTATACGCCCAGTCGTCTTATATGCCGGAATATACGGTAAATCAAGAAATAGTTTTCTAAGATCTACGGAGACACTCGCTGGAACACCTCAGCAAACAAGAGTCCAAAAGTGGCAGGCTCAAACCCAGAAGCTCAATCAATGGCTGATACCAAATGAGAGACTCTCCCCTGGGCACACAGAAGACTGGGCAACTTGGAAGGCGCTGAACAGACTGCGCTCCGGCATCACGAGATGCAGAGCCAACCTTCAGAAATGGGAATCCACGATATGCGAGTGTGGAGAAGAGCAAACTACAGACCACCTGCTGCAATGCAACCTGAGTCCTGCCACATGCACAAGGGGGGACCTTCTCACAGCAACACCAGAGGCTCTCCAAGTGGCCAGCTCCTGTTCAAAGGACATTTAATCAACTACCATGCTTGCAAACTTTGTGCTTTAGAATCATAGAACCATAGAGTTGGAAGAGACCTCCTGGGCCATCCAGTCCAACATCCTGCCAAGAAGCAGGAATATTGCATTCAAAGCACCCCTGACAGATGGTCATCCAGCCTCTGTTTCAAAGCTTCCAAAGGAGCCTCTACCACACTCCGGGGGCAGAGAGTTCCACTGCTGAACGGCTCTCACAGTCAGTAAGTTCTTCCTCATGTTCAGTTTGTTTGTTAAAAAATACAATACAACTGTTTGGTTTGCTCCTGACATGATAAATAAATAAATAAGGCCCTCCAAGGAAGGAAGGAACCAATTTCCAAGGTAGACGGACCTCCTTTGTGGTCATGAGGCCAGCAACACGGACTCGAGACTTTAAAAAAGAAGGGACAATGCATCAATAGCTCAAGAACAGGCATGGGCAAACTTTGGCTCTCCCTCCAGGTATTTTGGACTTCAACTCCCACAATTCCTAACAGCCTACTGGCTGTTAGGAATTGTGGGAGTTGGAGTCCAAAACACCTGGAGGGCCGAGGTTGGCCCTATGCCTGCTCAAGAATCACACAAAAGTTTGATAACAAAAATACTACGAGATTGAGATCCTAAAGGGCTGGGAACAATTGCACGAACTGAGTCACTGATTATGCAAAGCGAACTGCCAAATCCAGAGATTGCTCATTCAGCCTTGGTCAGCCCATTGTCTCCCACAAATGTGGAAGGCTCCCTTTCTGAAGCCAACACTGTCGTTTGCAGCCTGCTTTGTGGCACTGAATTGTTCGGTGTGGCTACAACACACAAGGCGTGGGTGCCTCCTCCATCAGTGGGGCCTGTGTCCAGTTTTGCACTGACTTCACGGGAACTGTCCAAGTGCTGAACTCAGGAGCAGTGTTCAGGACCTTGGAGAGTTCCTTTCAAGCCGAGGCTAAAACCTGGAGTGGATTTCCCTCTTTGCTGGCCCTGGAGCCATGGCAATGTGAAACCGACACAGCCTTTTCCTGCAGAGCCTGAAGAAGAAGAGGAGGGGCAAGGAGACCAGATTGACCAACTAGGAACATTATTTCACCCTAAAGATGCTGGATCTGGTCTGATTTGGAAGCAAAGCAGTTTGGTTGAGTCTGGTTAGTACTTGGGAAGTCAGGAGGGGAATTCAAAGTAGGGAGGACAAAGGATTCCTGCCTGAAGCTCCAGGTATTATTATTATTAGATACTAGCTGTCCCCTGCCACACATTTCTGTGGCCCACATGGGGGTTCTGTGTGGGAGGTTTGGCCCAATTCTATCGTTGGTGGGGTTCAGAATGCTCTTTGACTATAGATGAACTATAAATCCCAGCAACTACAACTCCCATACATCAAAGTCTATTTTCCCCAAACTCCAGCAGTGTTCTCATTTGGCCATATTGAGTATTTGTGCCAAGTTTGGTCCAGATCCATCATTGTTTGAGTCCACAGTGATCTCTGGATGTAGGTGAACTACAACTCCAAAACCAAAGGACACTGCCCACC